TTGTAAACCGTGCGAGGGGAGAGGGGGGGGGGGGGGATGATGAGCTTTAACCTGCTAATCAACTATATAATCTTCTCTGCAGTATTTTAAAACACAATATCTAAGGCTGTGGTGTTCCACTTCGTGTAGTCAGTCACCCTTTCCTCTTTTGGTTTTTGTATACGTCATTAGGTGATATCTGAGCGCCTTTTCTCACCTCCGCAATCTCCAAAGCTGAAGCCCAAGAAGAGAGTCACTGTAACTGGGGCAGGCAGAATCTGGAGCAGCTGTGATGGCAACCAATCAGCTTCTCTCTTCAGTTTGTTCAGTTTAGCTTTGACAATGAAAGCTGGAAGCCGATTGGTTGCCATGAACAGCTACTCCAGATTTTGTCTGCTCCATTCTTATTAAATTCCCCTCAATTAATTGATTTAATTCACTCACCTATAGTGACATCATTGAGGCGCTAGACATCAGTGCTTCATGGACTCATCTCTAGTACAGAGAAGTTGATGTTCTTAGAAATCTCACTCTCATCCTTCTATGATTTATTTCAGATTCGGACGGGACGGAGTTCAGGGATGACCCTCTGCTTCAAGTTTTGCGGGAGCAGCGGCAATCCTTACGATCTAGACTGCGGTAATGATTACATTAATTGGTTACCAAAAAGATATTTCTTACTACTGCTGGTTTGTAAGCGAAAAGGTCTGTAAGTGTCTAGGGCTGCAGCTAACGATAATTTTCATAATCAATTAGTTGCCTGATTATCTTTTCAATTAATCGATTAGTTGCAGTAACAAAAAATCCCCCCCAACCAACTAATCGATAATGAGAACAGTTGACAACCTATTCTCATAATCGATTATTTGGTTGCAGCCCTACTTTTGTCAGAGGTACCCCTGAAATGCTTCCAGGACGTTGGCTCCCTCCTACTACGGGGAATCGACTCCTGAGGACTCCAGGCATACTGTAATTGTATCTGAGAATTACAGTATTAAACAAATGCGCGCACACTGCCCTCCGAAGTCCTATTTTGTAAATGTACATCGTGATCATATAATGGGAGGGGAGGGGTTTCCTTCCAGGTTCTCTTTTGCCTGACACCTGTCAAATAGAAAGGAAGTGTGGAATTTTCCCTCACTTCCTGTTCTCTCAGGAAGTGAGAATGGAGAAATCTACCAATTGTAACAGCAGAGCTTTTAACCCTTCATTTAAAGCATTCTGCTGCAATTTTGCTTTATAATGTAAAAGGAGAACTATGAGGTCGGGGCTTTTCCCCATAGTTCTCCTAAGGGTAACGGGGGGACACAAACTAGCATCCACCCGTCACCCTGAGCTCAGTATATAGGGAGCTACAGCTTGCGGTATACTTAGACCCCGTTCACATTGAGCGATTTATCGCGCGGTAATTCCCGCAATATCGCGGCAAACTACCGCGCTCCAATGCAATCCAATGGGGCAAAGGGTCCTGCTGTCGCGGGTCGCTACAGCAGGACCCTTTTTGGAGCGGATTTAGCCGCGATTCAAGCTTGCTCAATGCAAGCTTGAACGCGACATCGTGCTGCAAATCTCGCGCAATATGCATATCGCGCAGTGGGAACGGGGCCTTAGACGCTGCAGCTGAAGCGGATCCCGACAATTATTTCTGGATCTGCTGTCTGTTGTGTCACTAACACAGGTTTATATTTCCACACAGGGAAGTGGAATTACGATTGGCAGAGCTGGGGGGCGAGAACAATGACAACCAGCCACATCCCCGATGACCGACTTCCTCTTCTTACTTTTATTTATCATCGTGTTACGTTATCTTTTATTTATACAGATTTCTATTTTTCTTATTCTGTTCATTAAAAAATATTCACAAAAAAGGCGGCGCGTGTCCTTTTGTGTCCCGACTTTCCCTTCCTGTGCCGCATCAGAGAAGTCCCTACACTAGAGAAAGGGAATGAATGAACTTTAAAGTGGACCTGTCATTTTGTAGCAAACGTGCCGCGGTTGATTAGACTTTTTTTTTTTTTCCCCCGGAAGAATGATATTAAATTCCTCTATTTTACATTGTTGCAAAAATGGAAGAAAAAGAAGAAATACACTCCTGCTGCCGCTCCACCACGTCATCACTGTAAGTGCCCATTCACACTGGGCGTTTGATCGTGCGATTTCGCGCAAATTTGAAGCGGGATATCGCAAGAAGTCGCCGTCCAATGATTTTCAATAGAGCTGTTCTATTGAACAGCTCCGTGTTGCTTGTCCGGGACCCTTTTTTTTCCCCCCCGCTGATGTTGCGCGGTTCTTCTATTTTTGCATGGAGCCCGACAGTGAAGGTCGCTTGATCGTCGCCCCGAACAGTCGCGTGGATCCGCTCGAGGTAAGTGTCGCTTAATGTGAATGGGGCCTAATGCATCGTCACTGAAATTTGCTTCAGATACAGACACGTCACGTTATATTGATTTCTCT